AGTCTATTCTTCTTTTGTTTGCTTCTTTTAACGTATCCTCGCATTCTTCATCAAACAATTTTTTTTTGTTTTTTTGCTTTTCTCTTCCGACCTATACACTTCCTGCTGTTTCTGTAATGATCGTTTTAATGGAGTGCCATTTCTGGTCTATATTTTCTCTTTCATTTTCTTCCAACACCTGGAATCTGTTTCTCAATTCTAGTTGGTATTGTCTCTTTTCCTCTTCTTCTTCCAATTTAGACACATTCCATCTTTCGATCTTCATCTGTTTGTCTGTTGTTTGTGTTGAGATTCTAGTTCTGAGCTTGGCCTTTACTAGGAAATGGTCTGTACCACTATCTCCCCCTATCTGTACCCCATCATTGCTAAAATAAAAATAAAGTTGAAGGAATTAAAAAGAAGCAGACCTCCGAGAAAATAAACGTAAAAAATTTAAACAATGCGATAAAAGAAAAAATTACAGCAGAAAGAAATGAATATATAGAAAAAATAGAGAATTCATCTGAAAATAACATCGAAAATATATAAATAGAAAGTGGATATCTATCACAGAAGCCATAGTAACACCAATATTAAATTATCTTAAAAAAAGAAACTTAAAAAAAAAGGACTGGATGACAGAGGAAATCTTAACGCTAAGAAAATATAAGAATAACACCAAAAAATTGAAAGACGTCAAACATAAAATTAGACAGAAAAAATTCAAAATGCAAACGAAAATCTCTCTTCTTGCTTGCACTCTTCTTAACCTGTTACACTCCCTTCTTACTTTTATTCAATTTGTCCTCAGATGTTAAAGCTACTCATTCCATTAGTATGGTTTCCTTTCATTCCTTTCATTTGACCTTACACAAGCTAACTCCTGTGCCGCATTCAGATCTACAATCAACTACTTACATCCTCGCATCTTGGACCAATCAAGCCAAAAGCATATATATATAAAAAACCTCATCATTTAAACATCTCATTAGATTGATATCTTCATCTTTCCTTTTCGGCTTTTTGCTTGCTATCTCAAAACTTACATAGGGGAGTACGGGGCACAATAAAACATAAATTTGTTTTTTAATTTTTCTGTTTTTGCATGTAGGTATATCAGTTTTAAATGTGTTTTAAAAGATGCCCTTCGGTACTAGGAACAGACTTATAGTAGCAATAAAAACCTTATTATTAACTATTTTGAACAATAATCAATTCAAGTTTAAAAAAAATGTTTCATTGTATTCCACCACTGGGGCACATGGTAACATACGTAGGGGTACAATGTAACATATATAAAAACGACCAAGTTGTACAATAAACCAATGAGATTACTTTAGACGTATATTGAATAAAAATGCTATACTATAGTTTTATTTCAATAATAGTAAAATTAATATAAAATCAGAGGAAAAATAATTCAAACGTTGAACATAGTAGTTGGCCAATATTTAAATTAGTGAAGTCGATTCCGAATGAAATAAATTGTTTTTGGCGTTCGGTTGATCCGGCGAAAAACCAGGTTCTAAAAAAACATCTTAGTGATATTTTTACCGACTATTGATACATCTGGAACTGGAGGTACTACAAAGGTGTTATGCCCTTTTTTTCTGAAAAACTTTACTTCGAAATCTCCGCTCGTATTCTTTTCTTTCATAACAAGTCCAACGTAGAACTTACTATTATGGCTGTTTAATTTATATTCCACTAGTACATAATCAGTTTTAATGGGTGATCTATCGAGATCTGTGAATTTGTTTTTATTAAGAATGAAAATGTCTTCAATGGTGTCCAAGTCGTTATCAATCTCAATATAATTAACTAAATCTTCTTCTTCAGGTAAAGACTGAACCTCTTCGATTTTTTTGGATTTCTTCCTAGTGTCCTTATTAAAATGTGTTATTTTTGGTTAGACGATTTCTCTTTTTGCTATTGATACCGCCGTTTTATTGCCAATTGTAGTCATTGCTGGAGTACTGGTTGCTATCATACTTTTTCCTCTTGCTCGACTGTTCTAATTTGTTTCCTACTCCCTGCCTTTCTCTAAATCTGGAAAATCTCTAAAAAGGAAATCCTCTACAATCGTCAGGTCCCCATAAGGAATTTTTTACATTACTGATGTTAGTAGAAGTACTGGGGTCTTAAAAATTGTTATTGAAACTTGAAGAGTTGGCACCTGCATCGATTTTCATTGTTGAGTTGTTGATTTTTTTAGCAGGAGCATCACCTAACGGTGGATCCTTTTTTACCTGATAAGTAGCTGACAAGTCCGCCATTGTTCGATCGGTAACGTAATTACATCAATAATCGGCATCGGTGAAAACATCTCTGTCATATGGGTAAATCCTTGTTTTCTTAAAAACAGCAGCGATATTTGATGGAGTCATTCCTCACTCGTGATCAATCTTTACAAACCAGCAACATTGTAAATATTTGCTGTTTATTCTTAATGCTGCATCATCCAAGTATCTATTGCAGCGTTGTAATACGTTTTAAATTGCTCAAACATTCCAATGTCTAACGGTGGCAATTTATTAGTGGAATGTGGTAGAAAAGTTAACATAGTCACTCCATTTTCTTTGCACAAATTAAGTGCCTCCAATGATAAGTGGCTTTCGTGATTGTTGCATAATATCAGAGTGGGCGATTGCATGCTGCTTTTTGATTGGTGAATGAAATGTTTAATAACTTTTACAAATAATACAGAAGTCATCTAACCTGATGGATTTGCCAAGCCAAAAGTACCAGTGGGGGCTTCCGGCACCATGTGAAACTTAAAGTGTACACGTGGAAATACAGTTGCCGCTGGCTGAAAAGAAGTTGTCACATTAGTACCCTTCTCAGCACTAGTGCACTTACTGCTTAGCTTCTTTTTTGGCAATTATTTTTTGTTTCTGAACTGTGCATGTGCCTGTTTTGTCCAGATTAAATACTTGTGTTCCATCTGCAAAATAAGGATTTTTGTACACTACTTAAATATTGTCAAAAAACACTTCTACATTGGCACTTGTGAAAGAAGTTACTCGGGATAAACTATATCCCTCAGGCGTTCTTTGACTGAGCGATGGATTTCTTTTCAAAAACCCATAGACCCAATCTTGTCCTGCCGATTTGATAGCGTCCCATGAAATTGGATATTTTATTTTATTTATTACTGCCAGGTCATGGGCAACTTTTTTGCATTCCGCCACTGGAAGACCATAAAACATTTGGAACACATTAGCAAATACTCTCTCAGTTTATTTTCTTGTCCTACATTAAACACTTGTCGGACATTGTAATGGGGAACATACTTTAAATTTGTATCACCCTCATTGTCTTTTTTCTTTTTTACGTACCTAGATAATGTTACGTAGTTTACATTTTTTAATTCTGCTGTACGAATTATGGAGTGGCCTTGACAAGCGAGCTCCACTGCATATTTAATGTCAGTCTCGAAAAACAAATCTTTATTGGTTTTTCTCTGACGATTTTAAACCATACTGGAACAAAAATAAAAATATTATTTTGATTAAATATTAATGGGGCACCTTAAAACGTTTCAAAACGCCCCGTCAAGTTATTTTTCATTATGCCCCAAACGTCCATATTTTCTATTTTATGCTAAATTCACAAAAAATATAACAATTATAGAAAAGCAAATGCATAAAAGCAATTTAGTAAATATAAACGTCTCGAATAATGCCATTGAACTAGATAAAATATTGCAGATTTTACCTTAAAATCAAACGACGTCCAGATATGACGAAACAAAAATGACTAGTTCTGGTGTCGACCGAAGCGCCACTGACAGTAACAGGTTCTGTTGAGCTAAGCAATTCTTCTTCCAAAACAGTCCAGCTTACGATACTGAAGTGACGTTGAAACCAATGAGATGTGCAAAAAGGATTCACTATTACCTCTCATTAATGTAGGTGCCTTACCGTTATTTAGCACGGTAAGCCTTAGCATGGATCTATTCTGATAGATATTTACTTCTCCCATCTTTCACTTTTAGGTTCCATGGATGATCCTTCGTGTTCAAATCACCGGCTATGACGACCGATAATCGAATCAATATAGTTTGGGCATCGTAAGCTGTCGGCTTTGTGCCCGGATTCCTTACAAGTGAGGTAAAAAGTCTCTTGGCGACTGTATTCTCGTGTCTGGTGCCCCCTTTTCCACATCTCTAGCAGGAATTTGCCCTGTTTTCTCCCTTGCAGTCGACTTTACTATGCCCGAATTGCAGTTATCTAAAGCACCGCTGGACATGCAGTCTCTCTCGTATCTTGCACGAGTTTCAGCCGATGGGTATAGCCATCCAGTGCCTTTTTGGCTTCCATCCGCATCGGTCCGACCGTGACGTTTGTATTCCTCTCTCTATGTTCCCTTATAGAGACAAATTTAACGTTATTAGACCTCTGCTGCTGGCGTATCTCCGGAGCTACCTCAGAATTTTTTCCTTTGTGACATCTCCATTTATGTCATTTATGTCCACCTGGTCCTGATAGCCCCAGGCGTCCTCTCCCATGTTTTCCTTATACACGACCAGGCTAGTATTCTTCAGGCGCTCGGCCTGTTCTTTTCCTGCCACTTCGAGGATGAGGTATTCGCCCCTGGTCTTCTTAGCGCGTTTGACACTAATTTCCTCCTTCCCTGTGTCTACGCTACCCTTGATTTGTTTAAACAACTTGGTGTTAGACTTTTCGCCTCCCTTCACGATTACCTTCTGCCTCCCTGTCCCTATTTCTTCGCGTTTGTACTCCTCCAGCACGAGGAGTTAACTTCAAGGAGCTTTTTGAGGTTTCCTATATAGCCTCCTACTCTTAGGGATGCCTTTTTAATCAATATAATTTCTATCCTCAATTTAGACAGAATTGCCAGTAGTCTCTTGTCCTTGTCCATTTCCGTCTCCCCTTTTTCCACACGGACCATGAAATTGGTCTGACGGCTTCCCCGGTTCTCCTTCTACTGGCCCTTCCTTATAATTGTGGTCATAATATTGAACTGGAGGTACTCCACATGTCTTGGACTATATGTACCTCTTTTACACACTTCCAGTTCCGGTTTCTTCTGTATCCGGTCGTGGAACTTTTCCGCCTCGCCGAAAATTCCAGCTCCATGACCACTACCAAGTCGTCTGTAGCTTTATTTCCTCTTCTCCATTTGGTAAGCATATGGTGATTTTCTTCTCATAGAAAGTGTTACAGAATGTAACATAGCATAATATATATCACGACATTCACGTGATATAATATATCACGATATTTCCACAGCTTCTGCAAGTGGATGCAATCCGCATCTCAACCTCCATTTTCTCCTGCCTCTAATTGTTTTCTTCCAGGTTTTTTACCTAATAAAATCTTCGATTTTTTTCCATGTTATTATTATTATTATTATTATTATTATTATTATTTTTGTTGTCCGCGTTTTCTTTTCCTTGAAAGATGATATTTTAACGCTCTGATTGGCCATCAAACTATTGTGATTCATTGTTTCTGTGCCTATATCATATAAGCTGTATATGGTATATATACTTATATTTATTTTATTATTATTATTATTTACTTATTTTATTTTTTATTTATTTTATTATTTACTTATAAGTAAACTTTTTTTGTTACATGTTACGTCTTTTATAAGAATACTATATAAAGGTACAATTTTTTTATAGTCGATTCACTTAGCTTGGGCATCTTGTGACAGAGTTATTGTCACAATAAAATTCAATATTATTATATCACAGTACATGATGATTAACAAGCTAACCTTAGTTTATTTTTGTTGATTAAATGTAATATTTCAACTAAATGCGATTACCTTAATTTATTACCACTCTGCTGTGTCAGCGCATATATAAATGAAATTTGCTAACATGATGCATTTTGTAAATACATAAATTTCAGCCTTCTGATTCAGATGAAGTTGACTTGTATTTTAAACTAAAATATTTTCTATTGCTATTTGTTTACACAAATATTTACCTTTAATTATTGTTTCAGATACTGTGTAGAATTCGAAGTTCTCAAAGCTTCAAAGGCATGCCGGAAAGAAGATACTTATAAAGTACTTAGAGAAGGTAAATATTCCCCTTTTGATGTAATGTTTTTACTAAATTTTAAGTATGTCCTCAATGAGATAGCGGGTTTATTATTTATTAGTTTGCGAATATTTTAAAAATTGATGAAATAAAGAATGAATATGTGTTTATATTTGTGTGTCAAAGTGTGTTCATTCTGTGCTTATTATGAATCTTTCGAAGAATGGAAAGTTCATACAAACATAAAAGTCAAGCCTCGTATAATAACTTGTCTAGCTAGTAATTTCAAGAAAAATACAGAATACTTTATGGTATGAATGCAACAAAAGTACATTTGTCTGCTTAATATGTATAGATATGTATAACTAGATGTACATTATAAATAAGAGTGCCTTTCAGTGCTGAGAATTTTTACCGATGAGATTCCGGCCCTGAATGTCAGGCATGAAAGTCGACTTAATTTAAGCTCCACAACTTTTATAGTTTTTTTAATAGAAAAAAGTATAAATCTAAATAATTAAAAGTGATAAATCGAAGAAGTTTACAGTGATTTGTTAAGTGCCGTAAGTACTTCTTCCAATTAATCATGTTTGATTAAAAATATCACTTTTAAGCATCAATAACATATTCTATTAATAACTAGTTACAAATTAACCAAAAAACTAGTTGTACTCTTATCGGTATTCAGCTAATTTGGTAATTACCAGACCCATCAACTAGTTTTAAAATAAACAGAGTCGGACTTTATTTCATTTAATTCATATATAAAATAGATTCCTGTTAAGATCACATATAGAGGATTCATCATGTCCGTAACATCAGATGGAAGTTCCAACGTAATTAGTTCTGTACCACAACATACCAACACAGTTAAATCCTACTCAAAAGTTCTAAGTCAACATACATACCCTAGTCCTGAACAAGCGATCGTTTTCTCTTCAAAGGATGGATTACGCCTACAGGACTACCTCATACCAGTAGGAGCACTTATACAACCCAAAAACATCTTATTTTCTTCAAGACTGTCAAAAAATCGAGTATGCATGTATCTAGCGAGCCAAGAAATTGTAGATAACTTTATGCAGGTACACGATGGTGTAATAATAATAAATGATGAACCAGTTCAAGCTAGAAAATATATTACTCCAGCAGATAGGTTAGTTCTATCAAATGTATGTCCTTCAATTCCTCATGATATTCTTATTCACGAATTAGAAAACCTAGGTCTCAAGCTAATGTCATCAATGACCTTTCTTCGTATTAGCTCTACCTTACCGGAATTTAGTCATATTTACAGTTTTAGAAGACAAGTTTTTATCAATCCTGTTATAAATCCTTTACCCGAATCTTTTTTGATTAATTACGATAACAAATCCTATCGAATTTTCTTATCCCAAGATAATCAGTTATGCTTTAACTGCAAACAGCAAGGACATAATGCTAATAATTGTAAAAATTCTACAAACTCTCAACAATCACCCACACTTCCAACTATTTTAACATCGTTAAACACTCCTTCACAAATGGACACCATAGAAAAATTTTCCAATCAGCAATCTACTTCCTTTACAAACAGTACAAATCCTGAACATGTCGAACTAAGTGAATCCTCAGTTACCAATACCATTGCACCTCCAGAAAATAACAGCGCTATATCACTAGATATTACTCAACAGACAAGCCGTAAACGTGACGTAGATGAAATTCTATCACCTTCACCAACATATACACCAGCTCTGTCAGAAAAAGACAAACAAACAGAAATAAATTTTAGGAAACCTACACAAAAACCCAACAAAAAACCCAAAAAAAGTTCTGATACTGACCTAAAAACAATAATAAATGAACATTCACCACCATATATCCTTAATCACGACCAATTTATAGATCTGTTAAAAAACGCACCAGGTTCTCCAAATATTATCACCACTATAACTAATTATACAGATGATTTTACTGGATTACTAGCAATGATTAGTAACTTATATGCTCACATAACAGATAGATCTCTGAAAATCAAATGTACCAAACTTAGAAAAAAAATCACAAAACATCTAAATGACGAACTCTCTTCTACCGACAACGAAAATGACCTTTTACTAATCACAGACTCAGAGTCTTAGTGTAATTAAAACTTTTTCACAACCAGAAAGTAAAAATGGCGTCGTTTAATTCAATTATTCAGTGGAATATAAACGGATACTATAATAACTTACCGATGTTAGAAATTCTACAATCAGAGTATCTACCAGATATTATTTGTCTTCAAGAAACAAATCTTAAGAGCAACCAAGAATCTTGTTTACATAATTATCAAAATTTTTCAAAAAATAGAGTAAACCAAAGAATAGCAAGCGGTGGAGTGACAATTCTTGTAAATAACAAATTAACCGCAAGTAGGTTACCCCCACGAACACATTTAGAAGCTGTAGCTATTTCTCTAGAAAGGACGACAAAAATAAATATTTGCACGATTTACTTACCACCAGGACAACTAATTGATAAACAGGACCTTTTAAACCTCGTGAGACAAATACCTTCTCCGCGTATTTTAACAGGTGATTTTAATGCTTACAACAGTATTTGGGGTTCTGCATATGATGACAAAAGAGGACGTATTATTGAAGAATTAATAGATCAGTATAACTTATCACTGTTGAATGATGGAAGACCTACAAGATTCAATATACAAACAGGCGAATCAACTCCCTTGGACTTAACGATAGCGGATAATAACTTCTCTGCATTAATGACATGGGACAGATTAGACTACACTTATAATAGTGATCATTACCCAATAATAATCACCAATAACTTGTTCAAGCCCAAAAATGGAAAACACACCTCTAAGTGGAAAACGAAGGATGCCATTTGGACATTATTTGAAGATATTGTAGAAAAAAATGTCGCAAACTGTAAAATATCCAACAATATTGACACAGACATAGAAACCTTCTTCAGCATCATCTTAGATGCAGCCGAGGTAACCATTAAAAAACTGCACTTGTTACAAAACATAAACCAGTTCCTTGGTGGAATGAACAATGTAAGACATCGATCGAGGCTTCCAAAAAAGCCTTTAACAAATACAAAAGACATAAAACACTTAACAATTTCAAAAACTTAAAGCTAAAGCTCAGTTAACAATAAAAACTTCAAAAAGAAATTCATGGGCTTAATTTGTGTCCAGTATAAACAGTAGGACCCCTATGTCTGAAATGTGGAAGAATGTCAAAAAAATTTCTGGAATACCGGCTTATAACAAAATCACTCAACTAAAGAAAGATAATAGAATAATCACAGATGACCTAGAAATAGCAGAAGAATTTGCTATTACATATAAAAATAGATCTAATACAAGCAATTATAATAATAATTTTATCAACTTTAAACAGAACGAAGAATGCAATGTAATTATACCGTTTGTAGATGATACAGATGCTTTAAACGCCAAATTTAATATAAATGAATACAAAGATGCATTAAACTCATTCAAAGAGACTAGTGAGGGTCCAGATAATATCCCAATGGTTTTTCTTAAACATTTACCGGAGAATGCACACAATCATCTTCTTAACATATTTAATATTATTTGGACAGAACAGAAATTTCCAGCAGCGTGGAGAAATTCTATTATAATACCAATATTAAAACCAAAATGTCCCAAAACAGATCCTGAATCTTATAGACCAATTGCACTAACATGCACTGCATGCAAACTGTTAGAAAAAATGTTCAACCGTCGTCTACTCTGGACACTTGAAGATCGAAATATTATTATTCCAGAACAAAGTGGTTTCCGACAAAATAGATCAACTATAGACAATATTATAGACCTAGAAAGCAGTGTACATGAAGCTTTCTCCCTTAATCAAAAATGTATTAAAATTTTCTTCGACATTGAAAGAGCCTTTGATACAGCTTGGCGCCACCGTATCATCAGATTACTGTACGATTTAGAAATTAAAGGACATTGCCTTGCATTTATAAAAAATTTCTTATATAAAAGGTATATGCAAGTTAGAGTAAATGGTTACTTGTCGTCAAAAGTGGAATTAGAAAATAAAATTCCTCAGGGATCTGTTATAAGTCCTACGCTATTTATAATTGCCATAAATGATGTTCTACGAAATTTAA